GGCGTCGGGCGGGCCCACGGCCATGCGGTGACCGCGCGGCGCCGAAGCGGCACGGAGCGAGCCGCCGGCGGGGCCGAGCGCATTGAGATCCTTGACGGGCGAGGGGCCCAGCAAGAGGCCCGACTCGCGCTGCGGACTCGCGAGGCGCGAGCGCTTGGCGGCCGACGAGGCATCGTGCTCGTCCTCGGCTGCCGCCCTCTTGTCTCCCGCCGTCGAGGCGTCAGTGGCTGCGGCCGCGGGCAGCGGCACGCCCTGCGGTGTGTAGCCGTAGACGTTGTAGCTGCGCAGGGCGTCCTGCTCGGCCTGGCTGGAGCCGGGCGGGATGGCGTGCGGGCCAGCTGCGGCGTGGGCATCGACGCCAAATCCGCCGAGCAGGCCGCTGGCGCCCGGCGGCATGAAGAGTGCAGGCGACATGTCTCTGTTTTGCGAGTCCTTGGGCGGCCTGAGCGCCAAGAAGCGGGGCTGCTGGCTGGGCCCGCCGACGCTGGAGGGCGCGGGCGAGTAGCGCTTTGTGGGCGTGGCGCTGCGACCGTCGTTGATGGCCGAAGCGGACGAGTTGCGCGCCGAGGGCGCGGGCTTCTTGCGCTGGTAGAGCTTGGGGATCTGGTCTGCGGTGGCCGGGTCGAACTCGAGGATGGGCTGGAGGAGGTGGGAGACGTTGTACTCTGCGGCGACCTCCTGTGCGCGCTGGAGGGGGATCCAGGTGCCCTGGAACTTGCCGTATCCGCCTTGGATCTTTTCGTGCTCGCCGGTGAGGATGCTCTTTTCGAGGATCTTTGTGCGGCGCGTCTTTTCGATGCCGGCGATCTTGAGGATCTGGGTTGCGTTGAGCCAGCCGTCGGCTCTGCGGCGCATGACGGCGATGCCGCGCACGGTGATCTCGTAGACGGGCACGTTGGAGTACGTGGCGAGGTAGACGGTGGGCACGTTGCCGACGGGGTTTTGAAGCGCCGCGTTGGCCTGGGCGGGCGTCATGTTCTTGAGCTGCGCCGGGGTGAGCGGACCCGCCTGAAGCGGGGTGGAAGCGCCGTTGGTGGCGGCGGCGGATGCGGCGCCATGACCCATGACCCTCTGTAGGGACTCGGAAGCCGCAGCAGCGCCAGCGCCACCCGGAGTAGCGGTGGCAGCCATGGTCGACGACGGATGGGCGGGGAGCAGACCTGCGCGCTGAAGAGCCGAGGTGGTAAAGCCGAGGCTGGATGCGGAGCCGGTAGGAGACTTGAGCGGCGAGGCGCGCGGATGAGCGGCAAGCGAAGAGGCAGCGATCTGCTGCACAGGCTGGAGCGGAGCGTGTGCGGGTGCGGTGGCCGAGGGGAGGGGGTGGGTGGCTGCTTCGTTGGCGTGTGTATTGGAAGCGTCGGCCGTGGTGGAGAAGTCCAGAGGCATGTGGGACAGCGAATTGCAAGACAGTCGATGCCGAGAAGAGGGGGTTTCCAAAAGGGGGGAGGGGGACGGTTGGTGCGCGACGAGGCTCCTAGGAAGCGACCGGTTCGGCGTGCATCAAGCGAAGAAGTGATGGTGCGGCCGGCCAAGCAGTGAGCGCAGGGTCGGAAGGGGGAGCGGCGACGATTGCGAGTGGGGGAGAAGCAAGTAGCGATGGGAGATCAAAGTGCTCTGGATGATGGGTGCAGGACGACGTTGCTGTGGAAAGTGCGCGTTTGGCGAGAGGTGTTGGGCTGGCTGGCTGGCTGGTTGGCTGGTTGGCTGGCTGAGGCGCGGCGGCGCGTGGGTTTGAGAATCTGTTGGTTTGGGGGGCTCTTCGGCGGCTGCTTGGCGGCTGCCGGCTCTTTTTCCAACTGCAGACACTCACCGCGCCAGCCAGCCTCGCCCAGCCTCGCGCCGCCCGCAGCTTGGCCAGCTGACGCGCCCCCAGCAGAGCCCCAGCCCCAGAGTGTCAATTTCGCCCGCCTTGGCCACGAACACTTCGGCCGTGCTCTCTTCTTCTGCGACCCCTTCTCGCCACATCAGATCAGAGTGAGGCGGTCGTCACTCAGAAGCTAGTTCACTGGTGTAGGCACAATCAACGTTGCGGCTCAGGCAGAAGCCAGCAACGCTCGTTCGGGGCCGGTTAAAGTGGCATCGCGCTCGCGCTACGCGTCGCGCCGAGCCTTTGTCCGTTTCGTTTTGCACTTGCAATTTCCGCTCGGCTCGATCGCGGCCGCTCGCCTGCGCGCGTCGCGTGTCTTCCGACCAGCCTCTGCCGCCGCCGCCCCGATCGTCTCCTGCCGCGCTCGCATCGATCGACATGGATCAAACCATGCCCACCTCATACAGAGAATCGTTGGCATTGCATGTGTGCTACTCAATAGCCTCCATAGCCTCCACCAAAGCCATTCTGACCGAACTGCTGTTGCTGCTGCTGCTGCTGCTGTCCGTACCCCATTCCGGTGAACTGAGGCATGACTCCACCCGGCTGGAAGCCAGTCGGCTGCGGGCGCAGCGCATCGTACTTGTCGCTCGTCTGCGGCGCCGCATTGGGGTCCTTGGCAAACGAACCGCTCTTCATCTGCTGGAAGATGTTGGACGCGTTGAACTTGTCTTTGTCCTCCTCCTGCTGCTGCTGCTGCACCTGCTGCTGCGAGCCCATGCCAAAGCCCGTCTGCTGCGCCATCATCTGCTGCGGACTCTGCACGCTCGCCACGCCCTGCTGCCCAAACTGGTTGAACCCGTAGCCTCCCGCACCGCCAAACCCGGTTTGCTGAGGCTGCATCCCCATCTGCCCCATCTGCCCCATCTGGCCCATCGGCGACATGGAAGACATGGCGCCGTTGTTGAAGCCCGTCATCTGCGGCTGCATTCCCTGCATTCCCTGCATGCCTTGCATGCCTTGCATGCCCCAACCGGTCTGCTGCGGCTGCATGCCCGTCATCTGCGGCTGCATGCCCATATAGCCCGTCTGCTGCGGCTGCATCTTGGTCGGCACAAACTGGCCGGTGCCCTGCGTGGGCACCAGCGGCTGCAGCAGGCCCTGGTTGGCCGGCACGGGCGCAAACGGTCCGCGCGGCGCATTCGGGTTGTACGCCTGCGACTGTCCCAGGAACGACGACGCCGGCGAAGGGCTCGCGCCCGGCCGCGGACTCGCACCCGCCGACGGCGGCTTCATCGCCGCCAGCTTTTCGAACAGCGCCGAGTTCGGGTCGGCCGGCGCCGGCGACGCGGCCGCGGCGGGCGACGCAGCGGCAGCAGGCGCAGGC